TTGAGGAGGTCTATGTTTCAGATGATTTTGTTTGAGTTAGTAACAGTGATAATGTGTCATATTGGACCGTGCAGATATATTGTACTTACAGCACAGTATGCAAAGCAAAGTCAGACGTTACTTTGCACTTCTATCCTCTATCCTCTATTAATCATTTTGTCCTAAAAAAACATCAGCTTGTTGGTCACTGCAGTTGATTCAGTCTGGTTTTTGCCTTGTAACACATACTTTATGCTCTGATTAGTGTTATATTTTCAAACAGGTTTTCTTTCTTGGCAAGATGACTGACGCTTTGGCTCGCTGGGTGCGGGTTTTTGAAAACTCAAGCGCCTGATGCAAACAGCATGTCTTCATTTTTCAAACACAATCTGTTGATGAGTGTCATCAAAACAGAAACATCAGACCTTTCCACTCAGGAGAACTTTTACAAAAGCATTAGTTGAGTTCCAGCAAGCCCGTGTTGAAGGGAACCTGGGGAATAGTGTCAACCTCCACGCGTGTGAATGCCCCATTGGGGGGGGGCACACACCTGTCTGCTCACTTTGTCTGTGAGATATTAAGTCTTCATGACAGTTTTCCTGCTGCCAAAACTACTATTGACCCAGAGTGTAGACAATTACACCATTGTATACCCTGTGATATCTAAAATGTATTCAAAGCTTGCACTGGCCAAGGGTAGGAGGATTTTTTTTTTTTTGAAGGGGGGAAAAAAAAAAATTAAAAAAAAAAAAAATTTTTTTTTTTTTTTTTCCCTTTTTTTTTTCCTGGGAGTTCTTTTTTTTTTTTATGGGTTTCCCCCTTTTACCTGCAGACAAAGCAATGAAACATGCCTGAGGCCTTTTGTTTGTAAGTGGAGATTAAATTATCTTCAAATGTGAATTCCCCTTTTCCTTTTTACCTTATAACTGTACAACTGAGTCAAAACAAACCTGTAGTAAATTATCCGTAGGGCCTGGCTCTGTTTTTCAGACATCCATGATGCTAATTCTGTTTCTTTTATGACATTTATTTGAAAAAAAAAAAAGATAATACAGCTCGTTTTTTGTTTGCTCTTCTACTTTGTCTACATGATCTTTATTCAAATCATATCAGTCAAAATGGTTGTCATAAATAATATTTAAAGTGGACAACAATAATGTCAATTTATTATTTCATGGTTGTTGAACCTTTTTCTTGGGAAAAAAAAAGTTCAGTTTAGGCAGGGTTATTGTCTGGTTTAGATGACTTGGTTAGTTTGGTTTTAATTATAAAGACTAAGTCTACAGCTATGCTAGCAGGTCTGAGAGGATGTACTTCGATAGAGCGGTACTTTGAGCTAAATGCTAACTGCTGATGTTTAGCAGATATTATGTTTATCATGTTCACCTACTTGTATTGAGATAAAAAAAAAAAAAAACATATACATTTTGAGGACAACTGTCATTATACAAAGAATACATCTCCATATATAAAATGGTGAAACTGCACAGTGGCCGCCCACGGTATATTTCTATGCATTATATCATTTTAATCCAGACTGGGACATGGATAAAAAAAGGGTATCATCAAAGTCAGTGGGGCTCATTGTCTGGGAAAACATCTGATGGTTGTTTTTTTAAGTCTGGACCGGTAGTGGACGGACAGACCAACAGACCGACCAACACCATTGGGCCTATTCCATACAGTTGTTAGAGGTTGTTTTTGGTCCAGGTTATACAAAAAGTGTCCCAACCTTGTAGTCACTATAAAACTGGGACATCTGAGTTTAAAGTACAGTCACTTACTTTCAACCATATAATGTACTTGCACTTTTTAGTTATGTGTCCCTCTCCTCTCATTTTGTATGCATGGATACTCTTATTTTTAACCTTATGCCTTCTTTGGACAGTGACAGATGAGATGCAGACAGGAAACACGGGTAGATAGAAAAGGGAACAATATGCAACAAAAGTCCCCGGCCAGAATCAAACTGGAGACGCATCTGTTATGTTTCTTAACCACTAGGCCACCAGGTCGCCCCTGAATCCTGCCATCTGAATTTCATGGCATCATGCTTGTCTTATTAAAACTTTGAAAGGCACAAATTCCGACCGCAGTAGCCGTGTGTCCAGGGCCGGAGGGATCCTGTCTGTCACAGTGGCAGCACAGCGGATTTAAAGCTGGACTCTGGGCAGGCCGACTGATTCCCGAGTGAGATGCTTTTCTCTGTATCTGCTGGCAGGGGAAGCTGAGTAGGCATCCAAGTAGAACTCCAAATCCAGTCAGACAAACCACAGCCTCTCAGTGTGAAGCATGTCCTTTAGAGAGATACTGGCAGCACTTCTCTTACATCTTAAAGCAGCTCGGCTTGCTGTGTGTTTATCCTTAATATTTTTTCTTGTTTGGGGCAGAGCACGAGTAAGCACCCCGCAACTTTTGGCCGACTACCTGCATTATATTTTTGATGAGGAAGGGGTGGGATCGTTCTTGCAGACATCTTATCAAACGAAACTCCTTATATTTGACTTTTTATACTTTTCTGCCTGACGTTTGCTCATATATTCCAGCGGCAGCAATCAGGGAAATGTTTGATGCTATCTAATCACACAGTAGGAGGAGAAAAAACTGAATTTTAATGAGTCATGTTTCCGGAGTTATAAATAAAAGTAACAGGTAAATCCCAGAGGTATTGTGAGGCTCAACAGTTGCTAAGAATCTTTGTCACATCTAATATCATTCAGTCACAGCAGAGCAGCTGATTCCATCACTGTTAGTCTCAGTAGTTGCTTGTTACAGCAGCTGGAAAGTGTTGCTGTCCACCAATATAACAGGCTGAGGTGAAAACCTAATTATCTGCGTTTAGTTGAGCCGCTACAGTACAGACGGTTAGGACCAGTTTCACGCAGTCAATTCAGATTTACTGTTTACCACAGCAGCAGTGAGTATCTCAGCAGAAGGACACCTCAAGAAAATGTCACTTGCAATTAAAAGAGAAAGGAGCAGCTCAGGCTCTAAATAATTCAGACAATGGAGCGTGATCTGGAAATTGGCTCCAAATAGTGCAGCACTGCACTTTTACCCTTCACATATCTGAATTTTTATTTTTTTTTATTTATTTATTTATTTTTTTTTTTTTAAGGGCTGCTGCTTGTTGTGGGAAATCTGGAGGGGTATCAGTTCCAATCATTACCATCTCATACTTGAGTTATTATTTATTCAAAAGGTACCCTTTTTCATCACATACACTGATTCTGTTGTTTACAATGTCAGGTCCTGATTGGGTACCTCGACTACACTGCTTAAACTTCTGATACCACTGATTGGTCTTAAAGGACCAGTGTAGGGTTTAGTGGCATCGAGTGATGAGGTAAATTGCAACCACCTGAATACCGTTCACTTTCTGAGCATGTAGGAGGAAGTAGGGTGGCGGCGAAACTCTGCACAAAAAGAGCCAGTGTTTGGTTTGTCTGTTCTGGGCTGTTGTAGATGGCAGTTCAACACGGCGGACTCCGAAGAAGAGGACCCGCTCCCTTTGTAAATAAAAAAGGCTCTTTCTATAGATAAAAATAAGAATTGTTGTGATTTCAGGAGGTTATTTACTAATGAAAACATACCTATGATTATATCATATCCATTTCTGCCACTACATCTTCCTAAATGTTAAAAAAGGGACACAACAATTCTACACATGCCGGTTAGTTTGGTTAGTGTACTGCTGCTTGTGAAAACAGTTGTTCAGTGTCTTCTGCGGCTCTGAAGGGAGCCCTCTGGAGCCTGAGAAAATAACCGTGATGGTGTGCTGAATACATCTTCTTCCTCAAAACATTTGTTTTTTATCATTTAAATTCTGCATTTTTTATATCCATTTTTACTTGCAGGCTATCGTTTATTAGCTTGCTTTTTTTGGGCCCACTGCTACCGTTCTTTGTCCGTTATTGCCATCAACAGTCAATCAGTGGAATAGTGTCAAACTATCAGCAGGTGTACATGATACAAACAAAACGGGGATACACTCATTAAAACATTGCTCCATAGTGCTACTAGCAGTCAAAAACTCCACAAGGTGCCTTTAAGACATGGGAATTTATGAGATAGGAGGTAGGTTCCAGTATGTTTGAAGCTTTACTAATACCTTTTTACCGAGGTTTTAAGCCCAGAAAAAACAATTCTGAGGGAAACATTGAATACTCCACTGATCTTACACATTAACATCAGTTTATCAGTCATGGTTAGTAGCACTCAGCCAGCGAAAACAGTTATAATGTATAGTGTAATTACAGTATAATGTCTTCTGTTGCTCGTGAGGAGCTTCCACAAGTCAAGAAAATAACCTGATGATGTCATAGTGATGTCATCAGAGCTATCTTGGCCTGGGCTGGGAGAGTACAAACATACAACAAAAAGCTTACAAAGTGGTGGCGTGGAGTTTGGGTATTTGGGTACATGAAGAGGCTATTGGTTGCATTATGGGATTTTTTTGGAGCTTGAACCAAACTGGAAACTAAAAGTCTGCCTCGGCTGCTTCGATTATTCTTTGTTTTCAGTCAGTTGGTCTTCTATGAGTCCCCCAACTTTATGGAAGTGGAAAATTAAATAGGTGTACATTCATTTAATTTTGAATAAGGAAATTGCTCATATTTAAAGACAATGAACCAGAATTCAACCTGAAAACCTTTAGGTCACTCAAACTAAATTATACTTTAAAAAGAATATGCATATAAGGAGAAGAAAATTGAACCCTCTATAATAAAAGGCCCCTTTTAAGGAAATTGGTAGTTTGTTCTCCTTGGTAATTTTTCCTTGATGAGGGGGATACAGAGCAGGCAATAGAGACCCAAGAGAGATATTCTTAAGGGATTCAATCCAAGGCCAGCAGTGTGTGTGTGTGTGTGTGTGTGTGTGTGTGTGTGTGTGTGTGTGGTGTGTGTGTGTGTGTGTGTGTGTGTGTGTGTGTGTGTGTGTGCAGATGATGATAATAACCATAGCACCGCCGCTGGATGGAATCCTTTCTGATTATGCCATCTTTCCTGTCTTTTCTCCAGCAGCGCACCATGTCCGAACAGGAACCTGTGAAGTCGTGGCGTTGCATCGCTGCTGCAACAAGAACAAGATTGAGGAGCGGTCACAAACTGTGAAGTGCTCCTGCTTTCCCGGGCAAGTGGCCGGCACCACCAGAGCCGCCCCGTCTTGTGTAGATGGTACGCTCCAGCTGAATATTTCATGGGCTATCTTGTTTTCTCTTCTTTTTTATTTGCTGATACTCATTTCCACAAATCTTGAGGTTTAGTTTTGCTGAGATTGCCAATAAGTGCTTCAGCACACACTAACTCACTTGAGTGTAATTTCTTCTAGAAGATGCTGTCAGGGGAGCAACATATAGTAAGAGTAAAGCAGTCTGAGATCATTTATAAAATGTTACAGGTTGCTGTTTTAGAAGATTACAACTGCATGGTTTAATGCTGTACAGAAGCCTTGGAATCAGCAATAATATTGTAGTAACAGTAATAGTGCTAATACTAATTATTACTATGGCAGGATAAGAAATACACAAGCAGTAATAAAAACATTAGTAGCAGCATTGCTAGTACTTTCATTCTTTGGGCTGACGTCACTGTGCTATATTAGACTGTATGCACCCAGTGAATACAGTCTGGGGAATTCAGGGGCCTTACAAAAAGGCTACTGAAGGGTTTTTTAATCACCTATGAATGTGACGCTGTCCACTGCAGACTGTAAAGTCAATGACCCAGAGGGTCTCTTAGCATGCTAATGTGTCAGACCTCCAACTCAGCTGAAGTGGCTGCTTCACTTTGGTCTGAAAAGCGCGGGTTTCTAGCTAAACACTGGACCCGATTGTGTTTGACCTATTCCATGACATTTCAGTATTGACATTTTCTGCAAATTAGAGCTGTGAGCCACTGGCCTCAGTTTAAAGCTCCACGGGTGATCTCAGAAAAAAAATGATCAGCACTTAACCTTTTAATTATTCTTTCTTCTACAACCAGGGATTACCTTTAGCTCCACTCTGTGTGAGACAATCTCCTCTTTATATGAAGACAAATGAACCTCCAGACATCTGAAAAAACTTGAATAGATTTGAATGCGTAATTTAGAGAGGTAGCCACAGAAAAAACTGTAAATGTCACTGAATAAAGTTTCTAAAAAAGTGTCTTGATCGTATAGTGACTTTTGACTTGAACGCACATCCTGTTGGTGCTCATGAGCCAAAACATTGTGATAGAAGTAAAGAAATCCTAAAGGGCAAACTTTATTATAAAACTACTACTACATCATGGCAGTCATGGTGAAACTTGTGTGCCGTTACTGAGCCATTGTTTTCCTCTAGATGGAGCAGCGCTTTCAAGCTTAGCAGAATCACTAACTGGGTGTCACACATTTACCAACTCCTCGCCTTCAAAGCGTGTGCCTACGACAGCAGCAATACTCATGAAAAACGCAGAAGGCCCGAGCTAGAGCTAGTGTTTGGTTTGTGCGTTCTGGACTACTGTAGAAACATGGTGATTCAACATGGCGGCCTTCCCAGAAGGCGACCCTTTGCACGTGAGGGACAAAGTTATGCTGAGCATCAATATCTAAGTACAATCTTACCACAGCCTTTGCTGAAAAACAGGAAACCAAACCTGGCAGTTCTAACAGCAAAATCACAACTCAATATCTGCTGTACTGTTTGAACTAGCTAATGTCTTATTAATGCCAGAACTACATGCGTTGGCCACACTCAAAGACACTCCATAACACTGTAGTCTTAATATTGGAACGACTGTAATTGAGGAACTTGACTGAACATTTAACTTGATTTAAAGACACACTTGACTTTCAAGTCTTTCTAAAATATAAAAAACACCCCTCTGATCATTTTTACATATGAGCTCAAGGTCAAAGTAAAGATTTGCAGGATTTGTTTTTTACAGCTACAATAAAGAAATAAAATCAATGAAAGTATAAAGCTATTTTTTTGCTCCCAGATGTTGTCAGTCTGAGCTGCCTTTGTGTTGTTAAAGCATCATTAGCTGTTAAGTGAAATGTATCCCATACACATTATGTATGTTTGGTTATCAATACTCCCATTTCATTTCATGAGAAACTTTTGTGGCTTTTTAATAGCTGCTGTTACACAACCACCATCTGCTTGCAGTTGACCTGATGCTATGTTTTCCACCACAGCGCTGCTATAACCATGGCTGTGTGGTACAAATTGATTCCCTCATGTCATAAAAGTATCCATTCTGTGCAATTTGGTCTAGTGAGGCTCCGGTGTTATGTGTGGATTATAATAACCGTCCTCTTCATTAGGAAGAACACTAATGCTGGTGGAGGGGGATGTGGAACATAGATAATGACCTCTGTAATATGCCAAATGTAAATGATGTCTTGTACAATGGAGTAGCAGAAGCTTAATGCCCTCTTTTATGGAGGCAACTGAGGAGGTTCTCACTGCAGCTGAAGGTTTCCCCTCATATGACTCGAGTCTTTTCCCATCTTGAACACGAGGACATTTATCACAAGGCTCTCGGCACCTTGTGTGTTGGAATACTCAAAATAGATTTAGTGATGTTGCCAGTCAAAAAGTACATCTTACACCACTTACCTGAGACAGCTGTCAAAATGGGACATGACTTGATCAGACGCAGCTATGGTGATTGGATTGGTATTTGAGGAGACGCCTCATTTCAGGCTCATGACGTCAGGGCAGAGTTCCTGAAACATAAACACAAAATGTCCTAAAATTTAAATAAAATAAAACAGTTACTTACAGTTTTAACGATCGGGACCACATAATGTGTGATTTCATGTGTGGTTTTGCAGATGCTTGCAGGTCGTTGAATGAGATAAACAATACCCATTAGTTTGTCTTGCACATTATCCTTTAGTTTTTATTTGTTTGCAACAATCGTAATGAATAACTTCAGCATTTTAATTAAAAACAATAGTTAAATTACTTTATATTTAATTTTGTATCTGGTTTTTATCCTATAAAAAAACAAGACGTCAACCAATATTTTTCGTAATAGTTTTCATTGGGGTAATTAACGCTGGCATTTAGGTCTACAACGTGAACAAAGAAGATTCTGAATATTTGCTCTCTGATACATCATTTGGTACGTCTCTTTACCAGCCTCCATAGTGGAGCAGAAGTGGTGGTGTCAGATGCATCCGTGCCTTGACGGAGAGGAATGCAAAGTTCTTCCTGATCTGAAGGGCTGGAGCTGTGCTACAGGGAACAAGATCAAAACTACTAAGGTAAGTTTAAGAAAAAAACCTATTGCTTTCCTGATACCATATTCAAACCTGTTGAATCGGACCTCGCACACTTCAACTCTTCAAGGTCAACAGGCTGTGGCTTCTGTTACAGTCGTCTGCCCCGCCCTTGCCTAAAACAGCTAATGTTTGCAGTCGGTGCTTGGACCCCCGGGGGGGCTGTAATCAATGGCCTACCATGTCTCCTTAGCACTTTCAGGCCACTTTGAGCACCCAAACTGGCCAATTACTCACTCCAATTACCTGCTTTTAACGTTGTAACATGATGCCCGTATCCTTCACTGTGTTATGACGACCCGTAGACTTCAGTTCTGTCTCTCTCCATGTACTTAATTATTTAAACCAGCCGCACCACACCTGCCTGGAGCCGGGAGCCTGGAGCCTGGGGCTATTGATTCAGGGACTTGTCGGGACCTCAAAATGGGATATTTATATATATAATTTGTTTTTCTTTTAGTGGTCCGGGGGTTCTGAGACAGGCCTGAAAGTCTGGTGTTGTCTGAAAATTGACTTTGGTAATTAAGGACTTGAAAGTTAAACATATGTTTTCTTTTGTTGTCTTCTCTAACATGGATGACTGGAAAGATTTCTGCGGACAGAGACCAGCTTTGGTAACGTCAGATGCTTCACAACAGAGTCCAGGTATTAAATCTGTTTTGCTTTTTTTATATATTTGAAGGTTTAACTGAAGGTCTTTATTCATTGTGGTTCTAACTTCCAATTGAAAAATACGAAGACATTTCCAACAGGGATCACTGATGTGTCTCATTATTGCATACAATATAGAGTATAGTGGCACCTCACATTTTCATTAAAACAGAGCTGGTATTATTAACCACATTTCCCAGTAGTGGAACTACTCGAATGAGAATACGTGTACGAGCCAAAAAGGCAACAACAACGTGTTCAAAGCATCAGCATTACCCAGCGGATTTATTATTTATCTCACACACCTTTGAACTCAGCTAGCAAAACAAGTTTCTTAAGTTTCAAATCTTTCTGCAGGCTGCTTGAAACAGTGTGTGTGTGTGTGTGTGTGTGTGTGTGTGTGTGGGGGGTGGGGGGGGGGTCAGGCCTCTTCTTCACCTCTTCTGAGCGTTTGGGAAAACTGCACAACATAAACCTGCTACCTCCAGCTATACTGACCTCTGTCGCTCTGTATCATAAATGCATTTATACAGACTGGAAGCACCTTGAGAATTCAAAGTGTAAACAAAGCAGTGAGTGGTTACTAGAAAGCCCTGGGTACACAGCAGGGAATACGGTCTTTCAGTCTGGAGCAAATCTCCCAGTGACAAACGGTGTCTGACATGCAAAAATGTTGCAGCATTTAAATTTGCACATTTACAGCCCCCCAAATGGCAGCAAGAGGCAACAGTTTAAATTGTGTCTTTTGGACTTGTAAACACAGAAATCCTAGAAAGTGACGTCAGCACACACAGTTATCCCAGTGGGATGAGGGAGAATAGAGATCCAACAATGGCGAGGACTGCTGTTTACAACACTCTTTGTATTTCTCTTCTCATTTTAAATGTGTCGATCCCTTTTCATCCCGCACACACCAGATCTCACTATTTACTTTGGACAAATATGGAAGTCTTAGTTTGAGGGAAACTAAATGCTTCTCTCTCAGACAGGTTTGTGCTTCCCTCCTGAGAGTTTTTAAAAGGCACTGTGTGTATGTGATTATAGCTTCTTTCAAATGATACTGAGGGCATTACCAGTTTTGTTTGCAGAATCAGTGTACAGTTAGCTGTAATACCTTTCCTTTCCCATATATTGAATCTTTTGTCCATCAGATTAGGAGGAAATTCACTATCAAAAGACACCATCTTAACTTGCACAATTTTGCACAACCTCTTGCCGGATCTTAAAGAGAGATTAATAACTGCCTTTGCGCTGTCCAAGAGAGTTGTTTGACTAGTGTTTCATCGGAAACAATGGCTTCAAGTGGGACCCCATAAGTCATTGCCAGCTCTAACTCCTTCCCCCCAGGCAAAATAAGCAGTGCTGAACCATCAGAGGCTTTACCTGGGCTGCATAATATCATAGTTAGCATGGGAGCCCCATTCCTCCATATTCCTTTTGAAGTTTTGAAGTTTAATATTTAATTCTTGGTTTTAAGCCCTTCCACGTACACCTGGATAGGAGTTTGTCCCATTCCATGAACTGTTTGGGTTGCCACTTCGGTCTGTGTGTCTCTTTGTATCATCTGCCCCTACAATGGTATCTATTTAATAGTCCCACTTGGGTGTGTCAGTCTAATATTTTCTTCAAAGAAATTCAAAGTGGCTTTAATAATAAACTATAAAAAATTAACAAATAAAACAATTAGGTTGTATTAGGGGTTGCAGTTAACTAATTTAAATAGTATAGAATTAACACAAAGTACATTTACACGGTTTAGTTTCAGATGTTAAGTGAAGGGCTGCGAATTGATAGCATTTTATCAAACCCTAATCCAGTATCAAATCCGCATTAGTGCTGCAACTTTATACATTACTCAATTAATTATTCTTTTTTATAATATATTTAAAAAATATTTGATGTATTCAAAATGTCTTTGTTTATTAGTCTAAAACCTAAAAATATTCCAGTTACTATCACATATGACAAAGAAAAACAAAACCTCACGTCTGACATTAAACCGCCAGTTTGAGTTAGATTGTCTTGTTGAACTTCAAAAACACACCTGTGGCCGTACAGCGGTGTAACAGAGAGAGGCTCCCTTCAGTGCAGAGTGCGAAGAGCACATTAACAGACAACAGCGAAAAGTTTCATTTTAGCCATTAACCTTATTTAGTTAGACCTGAATGTTTGCCGGTTTGTCATTTTAGCCCATGAAAATGGCTAAAAATGAGAGACCTCCTAGCCAAATGATCCCTTCATTAATCTGCTAATTAAAGAGGAGCATAAGAAGAGACAGAAGCTTTGATATGAGATATGTTCACACTGCGGCAATTACCGTAGCCTGTTACCCAGCCTGCCTATGGAAAGGACATATTTAGTCAGCTTGTGTCACAGGATTTGTTTATCTCTTGGGGCAGTTTTCTAGTTCAACTTTACAGAGAATATTCAGTGACAACAGCCCTCATGACTGATAGTACTGTTTGCCTGGTGGGTGTGTTTGTAACACAGGCAGGTTTTCATATCATAGTTACAGGTGCACCTGACTAATGAATGCTGAACGTTTTCTCCTCCTACAATTTATTCTATGTTCTCCTTGACACTAATCTATTTAATTCCTACCCTACCATTCAAATTAATGCAGAGCCACATCTCGCCTACAAATTTCCCTCAAGAACAGTCGCTAGAAGTCTTGATTTGTGGCGATAATTACCCATTAGTCTTGACAGTAAAACTTTATTTGGGTAAAAGGTGAATCTGCAGTGTCCCTGCTTTCCGTTTTTGCTGATTTTACAAGCGGATTTCTCACATAAAAATCTTGCCTGGTGCAGCTTTAAAATGGCCATACTATGAAAATCCCAGCGTCGGTAGTTACAACATAAAACATATTGCTGAGGATGACGCTGCGGTGCGCCAATTACACGGCTGAATTACACAAACACAAGCCCATGCACCTGCTGTGTTAAATCTTTCAGCCAACCTTACTTCAGGCACTAAATGGAAATGAATCCTTTGCCAGTTAAATTAGCACTTGTCAGCCACCAATTAAACAAACGCAACACCCACTGAAGACTTAGTTTTCCTCTCAGTATTTTTAGTATTGTTTCAGACAGTCACTCAAATACTGTTAATGACCCCCCCTTCTGAAGTGAGACACGAGGTAGATCCATCTCTGAAGACATTTTCTCTTCTGACAAGAAGCGACTCCGCTCTTTGTCTCTTCAGCGTGGAATTATTCTCAAATTAGTACCACATTAATCACAGTGACAGCTCAGAATGTAAATGACTCTGTAAAGGGAAGAATTTATTGCAGCTTGTACAGAGACCAGCAAAGTGCTGCGACAACCTAAATTTATGGAAACTCTTTACCCTGTGTTTGATATGATTATGCAGGTTTTCTTGTCGAGTGATGGCCTGATGGTTTTTGGATTGTTTTGCTTTTCTGCATAATTGAGGATGATTTATATGACAGTATGCAGTGCTACGCTGCTGCTCTGGCCTGTTCTCTGTCAAACGACCCATTTGTGAATTAATCTAACCAGGCTGTCAGAGCTGTCGTTTTCCTATCAAAAGTTCAGCATCGATAATGGAGCTTTACAAGTTCGCAGATGACTTCCCTCAGTCCGTCAAACCTACGTGGCGGCTGACAGACGGTTGGAATCAATAGCGGATGTCGTTATGAAGGTTGTTATGTTATGTTCCTTGAGAGTCTTTTCCAGAATGTACTTTTGGAGGAGCAGAGGAGCTGCCAGTCAGCTGCTGAGCTTCATGACAGGCAATTTAATCTCAAGGAGAATGGAGGTCTTCAGAGTGTCTGACAGCATCGAACTAGAAGAGAGAAAACCTTTGTGTGGAAGATAAACCCAACTCACCAGCACCCTTTAGCCTGAACACTGTATCACACTCTAGCTGATGGATGGATGTACTGATAGAAGAAGCCAATAACAGTCCTTTATTAGGTACTGGCACAATATTGAATCTAAAGAGGGCTCCACAGGTGTTTCCCAAAACATGACCTGTTGTCTTTCACGCTGTTAGAAGGAGCCACTGTACTGGATGGGGTGTGACCTGGGTGGATGATGTAAAGAAACACATTTATGGTGCTTGGTTGTTTAATACAATGTATTAATAGTGTTCATCCAAAATTGTTGCTATGTGTCTGTTTTCAGTCAGTTAAGATGATGTGTTCCTTCTGTCAGCATCATGAACTAATGGTGGTATCGGTCAGTCAGCTCATTCAGAGAAAGATGACAGACAATAATTGCAGGTCAGATTTTTAGGAAAACTCCTGTGAGCATTCATAGTGCCCAGAAGATGAAACTTAAAACTGCCTTTCATCCATAAGCATATCCATAATAATTAGCAACATAATGGAACATTTAGCCGCTAAAGAGCAAGGTATTACAAAAGAAAGTGACTTTAAAAGGTCCAGTGTGTCACGTTTAGGAGGATCTATTGGCAGAAATGGAATTTAATATTCAAAAATAAGGTTTTCATCACCTTAGAATGAGCTGTTTTTATCTACAGAAGGAGCAGCCGCCATGTTGAACTATGTCTCTACAGACAGAACAACAAACTGAACACTGGCTCAAGATAGGGCCTTTAGCATTTTTTGCTAGTTTCGCAGCCACTGTGGTTTCTCCTTCACATTTGAAAGGCAAGCATTATTCAAATGGTTGCAATCTGCAACTTCACACCAAATACGCACTTCCACAAATAATATCAAAATCTAACCAATAGACTGACATTCAATGCACTGCGCATTGTCATGTTCCAGAGACGATGAACCGGTTTCATTTTAGACTTTTCTAGAGCCGGCTTTAGGTCATGAAATAAATGTAAGACTCAAGAAAGCGAAGCGCATTCATGCTTAAAATGGGAAAAACCCTTCTGATTTAACTGACCTTACTGTAGCACTACCGCTATGACGCCCTACTGGCAAGCCTCTACAAAAAGCAAAACTGTGGGCTTGCCGTTTGCTTCATCCAACTACTCTAAAGTATACAGCCTCTAAGGGCCACTAGCAGGGGCCTTCAGACCTTTAGCCTTATATTTCCTCAGAAGATAATGAGTTCTCTCATAGTGCAAAACATGAAAAATAAACTGCAAGAATAAAAAGAGGCTTTAGTGCTGAATAATGCATCTGATTTTGTAGTTGCTTCGCTGACATTTTTGTCATGTCAATCAGTGTGGGCGCGAGTCTCACATCTGGCTTGAATTTTCTGATGATAAAGTTGAGTTTTATTACTATAGGTCGTGCTCTTTTCTTTTTCTGCTCAGCCATGGTATCCGTCTCTGCTTATGTCAAGTTGCTCAGCTCCACTGCAGTCTCTTTGTGTTATACCGCTCAGATAGAGAGAAGCAGACATTCATGTACAATATATATGAAAATAATTTGAAGTATTTGCTTTTGGGGCTTTTGAATGGTGCTTTGATGGCTCTGATTTAATTTTCTTTCTTTTTTTCCCCACAGGTGAACCAACAGTTCCGGTCTTTGTTGGATCATCAAAGGAGAAGAGAGTAATGCAAAGGACCTTTCTGTAAATAGAGACTTCCTTTCTTCTGGACTGCAATTAATCTTTGGAAAACTCTGAATGCTTCTTCTTGAACTCTATGGACATCAAAAAGAGGAGTAGATCCTATTGAAAGTACTGATCATTCAGAGCTTCTTTTTGAAGGACTCCATATGATTAGCCTTACCGGACAACAGGATTTATTCTCTGACATTGTACTGCTTGTAGTGGAAGACAATGGTGAACTCTGCCTATATGTTTATTTCTAGAGTATTTATGTCATTTACAGGGGATTTTGCATCACACGTTGACCAGGGTGAACAGCAGGTCGGTTTGCTGTAAGCATCGCAAATATTCAACACACAAAATGTGGTTCTGTTTTATCAGTCAATTGTGGCTTTCTTCTCTAACAAAGTGTAGTTTCAAGCGTTCAGCTAAAGATGAAAATATGTGGCTGAGCAGCAGATATTCAGGGCGATTTTCATAGAAATACACAACCACATTCGACAATGTGTCATTTATACTGTGTGCCACAACACACTAAAATAAACTTAATTCAATTTGAACTTCGCACAAACCTCCTACACGTTGTTATCTGTGTATTAAGTGTTCCATTCGACTCAGATATTGTTGAGATCTGATCAAACCTACCAGCTGTTAACAGAAAGTTGGATCCAGTCGTGGTTTATTTTTCCTCTGAAATTCGCTCTGCCATTTCCTGCTGCTTCTACCAGATTTTGTTTTTGTATCACAGTTCTGGTGTTCAGATTCTAGACAACAGCAGTGTAAATTAAACACACAGCATCTGGTCACCGGCTGGGTGATGACAACAATGTTCCCACAACTGTTTTCAACTAGTTACTCGAGTATGATTTGCTGATCACCTTTCAGTAGGTATCGCTGACACTTCCTTTGTCTGTGTAAGTGATGACATCAGTAATAAACTATGGTTGTGTAACTAACGCCTTGTGTCTTTTAACCATCTGTACGCTAACAGCAGCCTGGCCATAGGGATGGCAGTGGCAGCCTGTTGGTTGGTCCAGACTGAAATTTCTCAACAATTAATGCGATCAAATTTTGTACTTTTGGTTCAGTAAGGTTGAATTCTAATGACTTTGGTGATCCCCTGACTTTATCTCTAGTTTAACTTACATTCATACATTGATGGTAGCCAGAGGAGTAACCTTCATGAAGTTGACATTTGTGCTTTTGAGTGAAATGTCAAAAAAGAAAAGAAAAAGAAACCTGGATGGATTGCCATGAAATTTGCTACACACATTCATGTCCCCCTCAGAATTCTAATAACTTAGTGATCCCTAAACTTTTCATCCAGGGATTTGTACAGAGAAGTCTAATATCTAATATGATGATAGATAAAATGTTGAAAACACATTTCACTGTCTATGACCACCATGGATTATGAAATGGCCTCAGAGTTGAAACAGTGTCATCTGAATCTGATTATTAAAGCCTTGATAAAGGTATTGCAGGGCTGTTGTATTGGATTAGATTAGGATCTGTGTAGCAAACAGACTGGCAGGTCACTATATTAGTCTCACTTATTACACTGACAACACTGATAATACTCATCTTGTTAGGGCCACCAACAACTAAACCTTAACTTCTTTCAGTTATTTTGCCGTCTGTGTGTTGATTGCGTTTGATTAATATATCCAATCTAATAACATCTACTAATATAAAGATACTGTAACGCTTTGTGAACGGGAAATGTGAGAATTTACCAATTCATAATTTTCAGACCAAGACAGCTGCAGAACATTTTCTGAAGTCGTCTGATGACTGAATGTGAGCTCAAGTAAGTTCAATCAGCCGCTTGCCTGTCATATCAAACTCCCCAGTAACATCAAGGGTCCTTTACAAACTCGTCACCTCAGAGGGGATGCTGAAGTTATAAAATCAACAGCCAGAGCTGGTTTTCATGACTCCTGTTATCACAGTGGGTGAAATCACACAGCGTTTCGTTCAAGTGTTTTGATGTAAATCAGCTGGCAAAATGGTCAGTTTATTTTGAAATGCACAGCCCTGCGGCAGATTTATCCCCTCCTTGTATTTTCTTGTGAAATTGTTTCCAATGATGGTCTTTTTTTTATATCACCCTGCCTTCCACAACAAGAGTACCATCTTTAAGCATGTTAACCCATTCTGAGTCCAATCTTTTTCCTTTGGAAAATGAAACAATCCTGTGAATAATGACTTATTTTCTGTTTGTCATTTGAGGGGAATTGGTGCAACTTGCTGTTCTTAAAAGTGTTCCACTTTTACAAGTTGGTGGCTCATTACAGAAACCCAAGGGAACAGCGGCCTTCGGAGCAATAGGTTGTTTTCGGAATAACAGGCTGATGGTCCTATGGGACATTTTTCAGACTATTGGGGTTTTGGAATGATGGGCAGTCCCAACAATGGCATGGCACCCTGTACTGCCTGCTTGGCACCAAACAACACACAAAGTTAGTAACTAGCGTGTGGAGGATTTAGCCAAATACTTAGGCTAAATCAACAATATAGTTGGTGGAGACTAAAACAGAGCTAGAAGCAGAGTGAATACTGGACTTTATTCACCGGGTTACCAGCAACACAACTTCAAATGAATGCTGCTCTGTCTTTGATCAATAGGCAACGGTTTGCTAACACATTCACTGTATAAGGTGATATTGTGTCAGTTTTGTGTTTACAGCCAGTTGGCGCTGCCCGAATGGTGGAAAAATCAATAATGCAAGTTTAAATATAATTCAAGGCGTGGAGAGAGAGATGTTAGAGTCACTGAGAGTCGAGGCAGAGCAGCTGGAGGACAGACAGAAAACCAGAAAACATTTTCTTTATAAAGTATGATCCAGTTCCACTAAAAATCACTGACATAGTTGGAGCTGTAGAGCATTACGCACTTCTCCCAACCCAGACACCACTATCTCACCTACAGATTTCCTAATATTGCACATAATTCTGTTGTCTAGATGAGAGCTTCTTAAATGTTCTCAGCTGAGGACCCCAGTGAGAGATTTGCTTTGCTTGCTCTGGGAAACAGGCTTATTAAAAAATTTCATATCCTCGTCATAAAGGGACCCACCAGCAACAAGCCTCAATTTGGATCTCAACCCACAGTTCAAAGAGCGTCGCTCCAGATTACTGTTGAGGATTTTCCATGCTTTTTTGTTGCATTGCTGACACCTCTCAATTCTTAAATGCTTCTCTTTCGGGAAATTACACGGGGGGAAAAATGGTTTCCACAACGGAGGCAATAGTGTAATCAGGAGTTTATTCAGCTGCACATGCTTGACAGACGCAGATAAATGAGAGGATCTGAAAAAGCCATACTGCTCTTGTTTCTACGGGTTTTTAAAATGGAACTTGGTTTTCCCTTTTATAACATACCCTATGTGCTTGCTGTAGACACTGTTACTTGTCTGCGCCTGTCAAACATAGTTACACTGAATGACTCTGTTTCCCTGCTCGCTATCCTTTTCCAAACAGCGAGCCTGTGAAACAGAACAGAAGAGAACAGAAGACAAGTGCTGCCTGAAGCGTCTTTCTCATGTTTCACGAGGAAGCTTCCTTCAAACATCAAGCTTCATTCCTTTTTACCGAAGGCGTCCATTGGCAAAACGACAAACATTCACCGAGAATCAAAAGGCCGTGACACCGCCGGCCTCTGCGTTTCAAAACAGTTTGACATTTCCAGGGTCAATGCTAGACTCCCGGTCGGTAACTGAGTCAGCTCAGAGGAGTCGGAGGAGTGTCCGGGGGAGGGTTAGCTCCAAAACAGAAAAAACCTCGCTTTCAAAGCTTTGATTTCTTTCAAGGGATTCAAATGAAGTTAAGGCAGGCATTTCTCTCTTTTCTTTCTTTTTTTTTTTTTTTTGCTGCAGTCATTACAAGAGCACATCAAAGGAATCTCCTCCTCTCACCATATGCTGTATAGTTTCATAATCTAATGAGGGTTTTGTAATTACACAGTCCGCCAGGGGAATGGAGCTCATCGATTCTCTGGGAAAAGAAATTTCATTACACAGACTCACTGTAAACTGTAGATGCTATCAACAGCTTTGTACTTTAATTTCATTTAATCATTTTACATGACAAAAAGCACTCGTCAGAGTTACATGTTAGAGAGAGACTTGCAGATGTGAATGTAAATTACTCTTATATGGAGTCTTTGGAAACTTTCCAGGCCAGAGGAGAAATGTTGAAAATGTCACTTGCAGGGGTTCCAACATACAGGATATTTTTCATCTGATCATGTAATTTGTTTTCCCTGTGCAACGCAGTAGTCTGTATGACATTTCAATACAAGCGTGATGTACAACTAATGAATGCTACTTTTTTTTATGGATGCAACCTGCATCCAGCAATAGGAAATCCTCTGATGCAATCATCAAGGCATCAAATGACAAATGAGAGACTCGCTGTAGTGGAATTATTTATATGTTTCTGCGAGTGTAATAAAGGCTATAGCCGTTAGAAATGTTCATTCACAATAGCCGTCTCACTGCCGTGTGTTGAAATCCTTTCAAGTTAAGCCTGGGAACTCCAGTCTGAAACTTTGCTTTGTTTCAGCTGTGAAAGCTACATCTTCCATCGTGAGCAGAATGCAAACAAACAACAGCTTATGTATCCATCCATCCAACAATAAAAGTAAAAAAGAAAAAAAAAAACATTACAAGGTCATTATAACTTTGATCTGTTGCATTGTGTACATCTGTTATGAAGGATCAAAAAGAGGGATGACACATTTGCCAGTATATGCAGGTGTAAGTTCCACTGCCAGTAGAAGTTCAATACTCCAGTGAGTAGAGAGAAAAACCCGATGGGCGGAGCCAAAAACCACAGTCTCTCTTGAGTCAGTAATGCCAGTCAGACAGAGGACCTATTATGCTTTCCCTTTTTGTCTGTGATATATATAATGTTACAATGGATGTTCATATTAAACATGGCCAAAGTGTGTAAAAGTTCTCCCTGTGAGCAAACGCTCAGGTTTAAAACTGCTCATCTTTTTCTCCTGTATGTGACAAGCCAACGTTAAAATTGTTGAAGATTTCTTTTTGTGGTCATTTGCTCCAGACAGAGCACGGCTGAGCACGTCCACGAAGTAGGCACATTTCTCTGTGGGTTTGTCACTATAAATGACCCCTTTCATATTACAGTTAGTCATTTGATCTATTGTTCAACACACAATGATTGTTAAATGCAGCTTTAATTTATACATTTGTATAATTCAGATTCCTGGCTGCTATTTAAATTTACCAGGCTACTGCAATGAAAAACAGAATTTCTTTGCCGTCCCCCACTGCAGAAGTTAATTGCATCACGTCTTCTTGGATTATGTAGAGATCACGTAATCCAATCTGGTTTAAACACAAGTTCCCAGACTATTCCATAAATTCTTAAATCGCCTCATTCCTGTAACACTTTGTATCTGAGCAGTGCAAATGAAAAAATATATAAATGTCTGCTTTCATTATGTACTTTTAATATAAAACAAATGGTTATATTATATTACAGCTTTGGTAATGAATTTTTAATATAATACACCATCCATCTTGCAAATTAGTACTCCCAAATTAGTGCCCTCACTTTGTACATTGTAATTACTTCTGACAGGTGCAGTGGATTTATGTGGGCTTGAGCGGGATTTCCATTATTTGAGTTTTTCTAAGATCAGATGAATAAAGGTTTGAGCTTTTTACTTGTGATTTTTTTAACTTGATTTCAGTCTGTTTGCATATCTGGTGTCAAACACTTATTACTGTTTCTGCACGGCATTTTCCCAGAATTCCCATAGAACTGTACGGGGGGGCAATGATGGCTTTCTTAAAATGTATAGTTATTAAGTTAGGATTTAAAAAAGAAAAACATGACAGTGTTCAGAACAGGAAATAGAAAAACTTCAATCAATACTTTAAATGAATCTCTAATCCATGGTGTAAAGCCTTACCGCAGCTGTGAA